GAAGCAACAAAAATATCTCTCAAGAGCAGAGTGCATAAATAGAATGTGGTATATTTGTACTATAAAATACTGCAGCGATTTTCAACCCTTTCCATCTCATGGCACACACAAACTAATCATTAAAATTCTGCAGCACATCAAAAATACTTTTTACCAATCTGATAATCATACATTTACAAAAATATAATAATTAGCTACCCTTTTTGCTCCAAAGTGACTTTTAAAAAATCAGGTGCCTATACTTATATGTAAGGATTTCTGGTGCCAAGAATTAACCAATTAGCCCTGGCCAGGTGGCTCAGTCCGTTGGAGTGTCGTCTCATGCACCAAAAAGGTTTCGGGTTCAATTCCTGGTCAGGACACATACCAAGGTTTTAGATTCGATCGGGTTGGGCGAGTATGGGAGGCAACTGATCGATGTTTCTCTCCCTCTCTCTCTCCCTTCTCCGTTCTCTCTCAAAGTTAAAAAAAAATCTTTGAGTGAGGATAAAAAAAAAAAGAATTAACCAATCAGACGTAACCTTATTATGCAATGTGACCAATAAGATGCAACTCTATTATATGACTTATATATGTATGGTTCAAGACAGAGCATTTATATAAGATAGCTATTGTTATGTTGGCTGTTGTTATTTTTTAACTTGACAACCTAAGGGAAAAGAGGTCAGTGCCTCAGACTAAATAGTCAGGTGTGCATATTTTAAAAATTCTTGCAGCACACTGGTTGAAAATTACTGGATACTGTAAGGAATTGCAGGGCATGAATTAGATTCAGAGATAGATATATATTTTAAAACGTAATCTTGCCTTGGCCAGTGTGTTAGCGAGGTATTTATATATTTTCTTCATCCATTTACTTTTAATCTATATGTGTCTTTTTTTTTTTTAAGTAACCATATTCCTACAACGAAGGGTAGAACTCATCTTGAGAATGGGAATTCTTTTTTTTTTAATGTATTTCATTGTTTTTTTTAAAGAGAGGAAGGGAGAGGGATAGAGAGCCAGAAACATCGATCATCTGCCTCCTGCACACTCCCCACTGGGGATGTGCCCGCAACCAAGGTACATGCCCTTGACCGGAATCGAACCTGGGACCCTTGAGTCTGCAGGTCGACGCTCTATCCACTGAGCCAAACAGGTTAGGGCTGTATGTGTCTTTATATTTAAAGTGGACAACATATATTTGGGTCTTATTTTTTGATCCACTCTGACATCCCTGTCTTTTAATTTGGTGCATTTAGACCATTGATGTTGAAAGTGATTATTGATAGAGTTGGATCAATATCTATGGTATGTGTTATTTTCTATTTGTTGCCCTTGTTCTTTGTTCCTATTTCTTGTCTGCCACTCTTTTTCTGCCTCTTGCGGTTCTAATTGATTAGTTTATGTTTCCATTTTATCTCCTTTTTTAGTATATCAGTTATACGTCTTTTTAAACTTTTTTTAGTGGTGCCTTAGAGTTTCCAATATACATTTGCAACTAATCCAAGTCCACTTTCAAATAACAGCATACAACTTCACTGGTAGTGTGAGTACCTTATAATAATAAAATAATCCTAGTTCCTCCCTTCCAACACACACATACACATAAGGTAGATATACATAAGCAGACAATTGAATACATTGTTACTATTATTTTTGAACAATTGATAACAATGGGCGCTGGTTCCTTCAGTGGTTTCCACTTACGGGTTTCCGCTCCAGTGAGCCAGGACTGACTATATCAGCGGTTCTCAACCTGTGGGTCGCCTAAGACCATCAGAAAACACATATATAATTACATATTGTTTTTGTGATTAATCACTATGCTTTAATTATGTTCGATTTGTAACAATGAAAATACATCCTGCATATCAGATATTTACATTACGATTCATAACAGTAGCAAAATTACAGTTATGAAGTAGCAACGAAAATAATTTTATGTTTGGGGGGTCACCACAACATGAGGAGCTGTATTAAAGGGTCGCGGCATCAGGAAGGTTGAGAACCACTGGACTATATTCACCTGTCTGCTCCTCCAATCTTGGCAGCAGTGGTTGGCCCAGTTTCCTCAACTCTTACAGATTCCAGAAGAGTTGTTGACTTTTCAGTGTGTCCAGCTTTTTACTTGTTAGGATGGAGTGGAGACTTCCAAGCCACTTACATGGGGAACCAGAAGTCAACTTAAGAATCTTAACCCAGTCTGGAGAAGGAGGAAGGCTTCTTGAAGGAGGTGACCTCTAAATGAAACCAAGCAGGAGTTCCGCAGGTACAGGTGAGAAGGAATGATAGATTCGAGGGAGAGCATGCTGAGGTGGAAAGCTGTAAGAGATGATTAGAGCTTAGAGGTGAGGAGGGAAAGTGTTGAGAGATCAGGCTATAGAGCTGGGCTAGGGACAGACACCAGGTCTTACATGGCATTGACCTTGAAGAAATCTAGTGAAAATGGACACTGAGAGTCACAACACTGACCCATCTCCAAAGAACTCGGGCGCGTTACAGGCATCCGTGACTTCATCCTCACAGCGGCTCCTGTGATGTCCGTCTGCAAAGTGCTTGAGGTAATTCTGCGTGGCTTAGGGCACTTTGCTGCTATTAAGTGCCCATATAAATGGCAACGTATTGGCTCCAATGTTTGATTTCCTATTTTTCTTTCCATTTGTGTGTCACCTGTAATTAGAGTTCCAAAGCGCTCAGGGCACCAAAGTGCTCAGAGTGATTTTTCTATCGAAACAGAAAGAAGGGGAGACACTTTGCAGATTGCGAAGTGGAAAAGACGAAGCAACTCTCTCTATCTCCTGCATGGGCACTTGTGTTGATTTATGAGACCTACAAGGACATCCCTCGCTTCTTTCTTAAAGGGGTGGATTCATCTTTCTCTCTGCTACGTGTGTGTGTGTGTGTGTGTGTGTGTGTGTGTGTGTTTCTGCCTCTCTTTATCACTGGCAGCCTCATCAGCAACACATATTTATTGAGCATCTATTATGTGTGGACACAAACTCAGAAATACCTCTGCCCTATCTTAGCTTCATCATTTGGGGATTAAGTTGTTCATTCATTCAACCAACAATTATTGAGCACATCCTAGCAACCAGGCTTTGTGCTAGGGGCTGAGAACACAGGATGAACACGGCTTGTCTGTGGAGGTTACATTTCAGCTGGGAGCTGAAGAGTGAAGGGGGACAGCAGCATTGAGAAATCATTCGGGGAAAGTGTTCTAGGAAGAGGGAAGTGTGTGCAAAGGCCCTGAAATGGAAAAGGGCTTAGATTCTTAGACCACAGATGAGTTTGAACGGGAAGGTGTAAAACACACACTGAAACCTCACAATCGGGGGGTAGGTCAAGTGGCACAGCCCCATTGAACAAACAGGATGGCATTTCCTGAAATCATTAAATGTGATTAAAAATGATTTAACTCATTATTCTGCGCTGGTGTTCGCCACACATTAGTGATCCCCAATGAAGTGTGATTCTCCAGTTCTGCTCACAAGAGCTAAGGGGGTATCTTAATGTAAGTTGAAGGGGGTTTTGTCCTAACTCATGGATTGTTCAAGAAAGAACTCCTATTGGGTTTGAAGGCTATTGAATGCAACTTAGGCTTTTTTTTTTTTAATGCTTAGGCTTTGTTGTTGTTGTTGTTAATCCTCATCCGAGGATTTTTTCCATTGATTTTTTTAGAGTGTGGAAAGGGGAGGGGGGCAGAGAGAAAAACATCGATGTTATCAATGTCAAGAGAGATACATGGATTGGTTGCCTCCCCCCGTGCATCCCCACTGTGGCTGGGGATCCAGGATCAACCTGCAACCCAGGTATGTGCCCTTGGCTGGGAATAGAACCTGTGACCATTCGGTGAGCAGGCTGGTGCTCTAACCACTGAACCCACCACCCAGGGCCCAACTTATGCTTTTCATAAAAACGCTTTTCTTTTAAAAAGTGGAATTTGTTGCTAACAATAAAGATAAAGATACTGAATTTTAGAAGATCTGGACTAAGATCCAAGAGGTGGGTGGAGCTGAGTATTGGTTTCCCACTCCAGATGGGCAGCCGGGAGCCACAATCCACACCTGGCCCACTTGCCTAATCTTTGTTTCCTGGAGTCCCCTGTAGGCATTTGGGTCCGTGCTCACTGTAGGCTCTCTGCAGTAGGCTGATTAATGGCTTACAAAGACAACCAGGTCTTAATCCCTGGAACCTGTGGAGGTTACCTTAAATGATCAAAAAGCCTTTGCAGGTGTGACTGAATGAAGGCCCAAGACATGTTGCAAGTACCGTGGATTATCCAGGTGGGCCCAAGTCACAGGCGGCCTTACAGGATGGAGGCAGAGGGAGATCTGAGAAGGTCCTGTGATGACTGACATCCTTTTAAAGCAGTGGTTCTCAACCTTGGCTGCACATTAGAATCACCTGGGAATCTTTTTAGAATCCTGATTTCTGGGCCTCATTCCCCCAGAAATCAGGATTTTAAAAAGATTCCCAGGTGATTCTAATGTGTAGCCAAGGTTGAGAACCACTGTTCTAAAGTTAATCCCTCCATCCACACGCCAGGCCTTATTTTATTACTTTGTTTTATTTTTTTTGTACCACTTACTACTAACTCAAGCGTTCATATTCACTAGTTGGATGAATTAAACGTAATTCCCACCCCCTTGAATGCAAACCCCAAGATGGGAGGGATTTTTTGGGGGGTAAGGGTTGGAGGAGCAGATTTAAATGCTGAATTCTTAGCGCCTGGCATACAATAGTTGCCCAATGGATGTCTGAATGAAGAAACAGTGCTTGACGCAAAGTCTGCGCTTGGCGGAAGCCACAAGCGGGAAAGTCGACAAGCATCAGGCACTGACCTCGGCCTGGGGCGCGGCAAGTCCCTGATGCAGGTGACGGCGTGAGGGGCGCGGCGGGGGCGGGGCCGCCCACCCGGAACCCGAGTGCAGCCGGCTGCGGTTTCCGGCCGCGGCGGACACTTCCGGCAGAGGGACTGTCCCGTGGCACCCGGCACGGCCGAGGACGACACGGAGGGCCGGCGGCGGGGGGCCATGGACAACCACGGCCTGGACGAGTTCCGCCGGCGCTGGCAGGAGGAGCTGGCGCAGGCCCAGGCGCTGAGGAAGCGGCGGCGGCCCGAGGCTGCCGAGCGGCGGCGCGCCGGCCCGAGGTGGCCCCGGCGCGGCGAGCAGGCCTCGGGGTACCTGGCGCTGGCGCAGGGGCTGCTGGAGGGCGCGAGCCGGCCCCCGGCGGCGAGGGCGACCAGGGCCGAGAGGCAGGACGCGGCGAGCCGTTCCCGCTCCCCCCCAGCCCGTGACGCGGCCGAGGGCGAGGAGCAGCTGGTGGACCAGCTCATCCGAGACCTGGTGAGTGGCCGCCGCCTCCTGGCGAGGCCAGCCCCGGCCCCCGGCCCCACCCCCGGTGCAACCCCCCAGAGTGTTGGAAAGTAACTGTGTATCACCAGTGTGGGGAGAAAAACGAGTAAGGTTGCACACGCCTCCGTGCGTGCATAGAGTGTCTCCGGAAGCAGTGGCTCCCAACTGGGGCGACTTGGTCCCCCATTTGGCCGTGTTTGCGGACAGTTTTGGATGCCAGACGGGAGTATGGAGGGGTGTTGCTGCGGGCAGAGGCCAGGGATGCTCATGAGCATCCTACACCGCACAGAACAGCTCTCCCGCCCCGAATTATCTGGCCCAAAATGTCAGGAAAGCTAAGACCGAGACACCCTGCTTTAGAGGGATCCCTAAACTTTTAACAAGCCGCCTGTAGGGAAGAGGACCAGGACAGGGATAGGCGGGGGTTTTGACTGGTCCCTACATGCTGTTGGCACTGTTCAAGCTTTTCTAACTGCACATGTATTACTTGGACAATAATGAAAGCAGGAAAAAGGAAGAATCCTGCGGGGACTGTCGTTAGTATGGAGGCTTATATCATTTTGTTGGGCATGGATCTCTCTGTGAAACTGGAGGAAGATGGGGATCCTTACATCCCCTTCTCCCCGCCCAAAAAAGCCCCCTTCACAGAGTTGGGATAAACAGGATCACCTGAAACATATCCATGGTTAAGAGAACAAGACAGCAGGTTTTAATGGTTCTTTTAAAGTAAGGCTCTGCAGCTTCCCATTGGCAGTGGTTCTGTTATTGGCAAGTGGATTTGATGAATGATGGCTTAATGTTTAACGTGTTACGTAGTTATATTCAAATACTGTTAATAGCTGTGAGTTTTCACCAGGTGTCTGGTCCTGTGCTCTGCTTTATCTCTAAGGCTAGAAGTAACCTTCTTTGTGTATGTTATTAACCTTCTTATTTAATGTGACAGTTCCGACACATACGGAAATGCATGCTGGCATCATACCTGCTCCTGTAGAAAATGGGTCGTCACTGAAGTCTGACAGTTACAAAAAGAAAATCAGTGCCTTGGGAAAGTGGCTTAGCCCCTGATACGGTGCTCAGGTCAGTCCAGGTCTGTGCAGCAGGTCTCTCCATGGTAGTACAGTGGGGCCTTGACTTACGAGTGTCCCGACTAACGAGTTTTTCGAGATATGAGCCGCCGTCTCTCTCGGCCTATTTTTTGCTTTGAGTTGTGAGCTAAAATTCGAGTTATGAGCCAGCTTCAGATACCCCACCGCTAGTTGGCGCAGCGAACGTCACAGTGTGAACGCTACAACATCAGTCCAGCATCATGTGTCTCACTCGTTCACTTTTGATTTGACATACGAGTAATTTGAGTTACGAGCTCCATCACGGAACGAATTAAACTCGTAAGTCAAGGCCCCACTGTACATAGATTTGTAGGCTGAGGCAAGACCAGCCCATGGAAGCAGAAATAAACTGGAAAGCGGATTACTGGGACAAAGGCACACTTTGTCCTCACAGCTGAAATCCTCCCGGCTGAATGTGACAGTGTCTTCAGGCTGCACATCCTGGGAGGTAGGCAGAGTTAGTCTTTTAAAATGACGGGAACTCAAGAGGCTTTCCTGCACTTGGCCCAGGCATACCCAGCTGATAAGTTCTAGGGATTGCAGTCAGGTGCAGGTCTGTTGGGCTCTGCATTTCACCAGGTGGGAGTTTCCCAAACTTGACTTGGTACAAGAATCACCTTCGACTTTATTAGAGTCTGGGTTCTGCAGACTGTCCATTCTCAGAGGGAAGGTGGGGGTGGGAAGAGATCAACCAAAGAACCTGTATGCATGTATGCATAACCCATGCACGCAGACAATAGGGTGGTGAAGGCCTGGGATGGGGGGCGGCGGTGGGCTAGAAAGGGTCAATGGGGGGAAAAGGGGGACATATGTAATACTTTTAACAATAAAGATGAAAAAAATAAAATCTAGGTTCTGGCCCCTCCCCAGACCTGCTGCCTCTCAGTGTCCAGAGAAGGGGACCAGGAATCGGCTGTTGGGACGATCAGGCAAGTTTTGAGAGATTCTCTGCTGTGCAGCTTCCTTTGGTTTGAGGTCTGGATTCTCAAGGAGTCCAAAAACAGTGGAGTCCTAACTGAAGTATTCTAGAAGTGGGAGGGGCTTGCCTACTGGAGGATGCAAGGGGCACATCAGAAGCTAAGTTTCATAGGTAGTTCGTGAAAGCCTGCCCTGGAGCCAGTGTGTGATCTCTGCTCCCTTCAGAACCACCACATTAGGTCCTGTGAGCATGTAGTGCACTACTGTGAGCAGCAGCCAACCTTTGGGGTACCTCTAATTTTATTTTCAGTATTTTGCAATCATCAGTAACACTGCTATAAATAAAGTAATAATTCGTTGTTGGTGCTTACATGCTGTCTCCTTGGTACTGTCTCAAAGGTATAGAGACCTCATTATCTTCTTCAGTTCTCCCAATAACCCTCTCCAGTGGCCATTGTTAGCCCCATTTGGCTGATGAGCATGAGGAAGGTAATTGATTTTTTAAAAAATTCTTTATTGTTTAAAGTATTACATGAGTCTCCTTTTCCCCCCCCCATTGACCTCTCCCCTGCTGCCCCCTCCGCCAAGCACAAGCCCTCACCCCCCTACTGCCTGTGTCCATTCGTTTTGCTCATATGCATGCATACAAGACCTTTGGTTGATCTCTTACCCCCTCACCCCCCGCCTTCCCTCATAGGTTGTACAGTCTGTTCGATGCTTCTATGTCTCTGGTTCTATTTTTGTTCATCAGTTTATGTTCATTAATTTCCACAAATGAGTGAGATCATGTGATATGGTAATTGATTTTTTTAAAGGGGCAGTAAACCCAATATTTTAAGTCTGAGAAATGATGGTAACCTTTATAGAAAAGGCTTTGATTTGTAATTCATTGGTCGTAAGCCTCAAAGCCCACAGAGATCCGACTGGTAGGTAATACAGATGAATAAAGTGGTCTAGGTGTTGCTGATTGGGCCCTTTCCCCCTAATTCATCAGATGGTGGTTTGTTAGGCATCTTTCCCAGATTCCAGCCATACGTCTGTGATGATTTGTTTCATAATGGTGGTTATTCTTTTTATCACATTACATATTGTACTGTAGAGTTTGTCTTTCTGATATCCCTCAAGGAAAATACTTAATCATTTTTCTTGAAGCATGGTCATCCTCTTGGTCTTCTTGTTCTACTTTTTAAAGTTTTTTTTAAAAAAATCAAACCCTTTACCGACGTGTACAGATCATAAATGTACAGCTTGGTGAATTCCAAGAGTACATATCCATGCAAACAGCACCCAGATTACAGAACAGTATTACCAGCTTGTCAGAACCCCATGCGTGCTCTTTCACAACGAGGCGTGTACCCAAGGGTCACCACCACGAGACTCCTAACACCTGCTTTTAGTTTTGTCTGTTTTTGAACTAGAAGTAGAATCATGCAGCATGTGCGCTCTTGTGTCCGGATTCTCATGCACAGCATCGTGTATGAGCTTTATCCCTATGGATATGCCACATTTTATTCTACTGTTGATGATAACTAGTTTATTAGTGGCCAGTGTGAGACTCTCAGGAATAGTGCCGCTGGGAACATTTTCTACATCTTTTGGGATGTATACTCCTTTTTCTTGGGTTTACCCCTGGTTGTGGAATTCCTGGGTCACGAAGGATGCACATGTTCAGCGTTAGTAGATATTGACCAACAGTTCTCCAGAGTGATTGTGCTGGTTTTCTCACTCGTGAAAGTAACTCAAGTATGTGGACCATAGTATTTCATGTACGTCTTTGACGTAAATATAACAACACCTAACCGAGACTACACAACTTGACCTCGACATGGGTAAGATAATAGTGACACACTGGGAAATTCATGCTATGGCTTGGGTAAAGGTGGAGCCACTGCCCAGGTCAACTAATTGTTGCCATGTAGGAATTTGGGCCCAGTGTTGCAGTCTTCAGATTTTTTTAAAAAATTAGGAATATATACTTTAATGTGGACTCTGTCTGTTTTTGCTGCACAGAAAACACCCCAAACTTTGGCTTAACACTGTTTAGCTCACCATGTTGCAGAGTGGCAGTGGGCTGGGCAGGGATGGGCTCACTCATGTCTGAGGTGATCTGCTTATTTTGCTAGTTGTTGGCTCTGTGTGTGTGTTTGCGGTATGTGTCTCATCATTCAGCGGGTTAGCCCTGGGTAAGTAAGCCTTTTCATAGTTATGAGAGCTGAAGGACGGCAAGCCCCAGTGCTTTTGAAGTCCCCGCCGAGGTCATGTTTGTGATCGTCACATTGGCCAAAGTGAGCCATGTGGCCACGCCCGGAGTCAGTGTAGAGTTAACTCAAATGCCTGCAAAAGGGGGCATGAACAGAGTACGGGTCACTAATCCAACAATGTACCACAAACTCTCCCCATTTTTAATTGCTGATAACTAATTTAAAATGAACAGTTTAAACACTAACACTGCAGGTGCAACAAAAGCTGTCTGGGGGGTAGATAGACATGCCTCGGGTCACGAGCCTGTGTTCTTTGCCTTGTGTCTTTCCAAGAATCTTTGCTTGTTTCACAGGTAACTCCTGAGAAGGACGATTTATTTTTATTTGGGAACTCCCCAGAAACTCACAGGCCAATCCACTTGACATGAAAGGCAAATAAAAATCTGATACCATCTCATAGCACACCTCCCTCCCTTTCCTCCAACTTTTGGTGCTCTCTGTTATATCGATGCATTCTCGTGTATTTTTGGTGCAATCTCTTTCACCTCAAGCCTTAGTGTTATCACTAGAGTGAGAACAACTACTAGGTTAGCAGTCAGGAGTTGAGTTGCCTTTGGCTGGGTAAATGGGCAGTGCTGCTTCAGAGATTCATCGGGCTGGGTAAGGGACAGATCTTTGATGGACAAGCACAGCTGACATGAAAACTTAGAAATGATTCTCCTTGAGCCTTGTCTTCTCTTGTGAAGCTTTTCAAAATAGCACTTAG